TGTTCCACTGGACTGTCTAGAATAGTCTGTGGTTGTCATCCATACTCTGCTGAATGACGGGGCCATCATTTGGGAAAAAGGCTTCTCACATCATCCACCTCTCACCCTCACCTCGTGGTCTATAACACCTCTCAACTCATCATTCAACTCATATTCCATCTATTATATCTACCCATGTTTACCCCAACATTATCGTAGATATAAAATACATATACAGTTTAAATCATTTAAAACATGTATAAAATTGTTCATTTAGCATAGACAACAAGTACTCAGATAATATGCACACATAGCACGTAATTTATATAAAATACTTCATATATATGTGTAAGATGAAAGTAACTATGCACTCACCTGAAAGGTGGTGACTCAGCACTCGGACAGTGCTTCGATACTCTCAAAACAATTTCCTTCGATAACACCTAGTACCAATACCAATAGGGTTTAGTCTAATGATAACCGCGACAAATTAATTAGTCTGACTATTATTATTATTATATAAGCGTTAATAACACTCAATATAACTCATAATAATAGCCCAAATAATTATTTTAAGGACCTAATAACATTCCTATAATTATTCGAAAGCTATATTAAAAATTGCGTAAGTATAGCTCACTTACAACGAATTTTATCGAAAACTGGAACTTTATTTGGAGCAGCGTTTCGAAACCGAAAGATCCTTTTTCTCGGGACTCTGGGAGCCTCGGGGCTTCCCTCGGGTGCTAGGGGATCACCTAGACTTTAGGGGACTCAAAAGGAGATAGAGAGAGAAAGTTCTTAGAGAGAGAGTGACAAAATGTGTGAAAAAGTTGGAGACCCTCGCCCCCCTTTTATACCCAGCGAGGCCTCGGATTACGTTGGGCGTAGTCCTTGGCTACGCTGGGCGTAATGCTCGGATAAGGGTGCCAGCGAGCCTCCAGCTGTCTCGCATTTGGAAGGGATAAGAATCGAAGTACGTTAGGCGTACCCAGCCTCGGACACGGGGCGTAGATGCGAGTCGATGTGGCGTGATCCGAAGCGAAGCCTTGGTCAGCAAGCAACGGCTCAGATGCGGCCACGTCATCAACCTCTCGCAGATTTCGAAATTTTACACTCCGACTTCTAAAAATCATATCTTTCGCATACAAGCTCAGTTTTTGACGTTCTTTATATCCACGCGAAGGTGGGAATGTACTATACAACTTTCTTTTAGACTTCATCGGCTAATTTTGACTCGATTTTATATTTTATATTTTTAACAGACCGAGATAGGATTGGTCCGTTAAATCCTCATAACTTCTTCATCCGACGTCCGTTTTCACCCATATTTTTCTCGTTATGCTACTCTTAACGAGATCTTCGATTCTCGTTTAGGTCGTGTCGGCTGAAAAGCACTCGATCTAATATTCGAATTTCGGGTTGTACACTGCTAATCCGAAACTTCGAAAAATCATAACTTCTTCATACGAAGTCAGATTTGGGCGTTCTTTTTATCGATGTTCTTAGTTTAAAATATTCTACGACTTTCGTTTAGATCGCAAAGGCTAAATCTCGCTCTATCGTAAATTCACTATTTACGCTTCTCGGTATCGTGTTGGTTCCGTCGCGAAACTTCAACGGGTCATAACTTCTTCGTTATAACTCGGATTTCGGTGTTCTTTATATGTACGGAAACCTTGAGACATATTCTACAACTTGGTTAAGATTATTTATTCTAAATAATCTTTTGTAAAAAAGTCGTTTTCGACCCCTATTGCCTCTAAATTCACTAGCCCGGATCTACGGGCGTTACAACGTACCTGGGGTGTCTGACTACCCTTCGGTACTAACAACCGAACTCTACTACTATCACATACAACATATCATGCTAGCATATAACATATCAGGTAGAAAAAACCTAGATGATATCACAAAGACGATCATCTATCATACGTCTCCTACTGGTGGGCCGACATTGTGGCCTTAGACCCACCACTACTGGAATGTAACTCACCTCGAAAAGTAGCTGCTGAAAGCCTGCTTACTAAGCGTCTGACTGCTGAATCGGTAATCCTCCGGCTATAAATCATAAACATAGATTAGCCACTCATTCACACCCTTAGGTCAGATGACTGACCCACCCCTGGTCCAATGTCAACTCCTTAGTTAAAGTCAACTTCCAGTTGACTGGACTCGCCGAGTCATGGCACCGCCTCGCCGAGTCCTTATCCCACTAACCCGGTCCCACTCCACAATCCCATAATCTCACTCACTGAGTCACCCTTAACTCACTACTTGGGATGATAGAACTGGCTCGCGATCCGACTCGCTGAATCCATACGAGCAAACCTCCCACTCGCTTCTAAATCCTCACCAGAGCATCCCTTATGAGGATTTGGTTTTTTGGGACTATTGCAACACGTTAGATTGCTAATTCCGCGTGTAAATACGAAGGGTTGGACCTTCAACATCTAAACCCCTCTTACTCAGTAACTGTTCATCTGACTCGCCGAGTTTGAAGAACAACTCGTCGAGTACCAGGCAATCTTCATAGGACTCGCCGAGTTGTTCATCCAACTTGCTGAGTCTAAGGCCGTCTTCAAAGAACTCGCCAAGTCCCTTGACCCATTTCCCATATAGACCAAATCTGAGACATGCAACGCTTCAAAACCATAGATCTATGTTTCTAGAGCATGCTTATCACGTAAAGTTGCAAACTTTACGTGCATGCATGGCCTTACAAGCTTCAAAAGGAAAATCTAAGCTCTTTATGAGGTCCTACACTCAATGGGGACCTCAATCACTTCATCCACATGAACTTTATGCTTTTAATACGTCCACAGGGTCTAGATCTAAAGTCCTTTCGGATCATTAAGCACAAACACATGGAGTTTGGTGTTTTAGAGCTTGAAAACCACCAATTTGGGACAAAAATGGTATCTAATGAACTAATGATCAAGGTATGAACTTTTATACCTGAATGGAAGCTTCTCACAGTGTAGATTTCGAATCTACTCTCTTACTTGGACTCTTCAAACTCCTCTTTCTTCTTCTAAGCTCCAAACTTCCTTCACCAAGTAAAAATCACTCACAAGAACAATATGGGGGCTAGGGTCTCTCACTACAGCTCTCTGGAAGTGTTAGGGACAAGGGAGGCTGAGTTAGTGTGCTTAAATAGGGTGCCAACACTCGGGTTAGGGTTTTTTCCCAACAGGGCCTACTCGTCGAGTCCAAGGCTCAGACTTCGCGTCTCATCCCGCTCCTACTCGGCGAGTCGGTTCTTCAACTCGCCGAGTCCAAGGCAAAAATGCATGAATTTAGAATTATTAATTACAAGAAATACGTACCTGGAACCAGGTGCTACATATCAAATGAAGGTATTGGGGTGGTGGTGTTTCTAACGAGTGTTTTTTCTTTGCTGGGCCTTTTGAAAGAAGACATTTTCAAAAAAAGATGGAGGAAAAGAGGAAAGATTTTGGTTGAAGGTTGTGTAAATAATGTTATATATATATATATATATATATATATATATATATATATATATATATATATATATATATATATAAAGTTAAAATAATAATAATAATAATAATAATAATAATAATAATAATAATAAAATAAATAAATTCAGTCAATGGACCGTTCAACGGTCAAAAAGGGAATCAAACACCTACCAATCACAGGCCACAGTTCTTTCTAGTCGTAGTGCGGCCAAGACCGCACAAAACCGCACGCAGGGGGTGGTGTTTGTGGTCGACGTGGCACGAACGCGGTTCCAAACCGCACTCCACTCCGACGAGTCTAACCGTTAACATGTCGCCTACATTAAAAAGTACAGATATTGCATTCTTTAGTGAAAAGTCTGCTAAAAGTTTTGGGATTAAGTTTGTGTTGTTTGTTCTTATTTTATGTATATTGACCAAATTTGTATAAATGAAAATCTTTTTGTCACATGTTTTATTATTATTGATTTGGCCACATGTCATTTTATGGTTATTTTTAATTAAATTTTTTTCTAAATGACATTTTGTGGTTCTTTTTCCATTTTATTAAATTTCAGATAATATTCAAATGTAATAATTACAATAAATGTAATAATAAATGCATATCAATTTCAATAATTGACTTCCTTTCTAATTTCAACATTTCTAAATTAAAACTTCATTATTAGGTTCTTTTGTTTATTTTAATTAAATTATTTTTCTTTAAATTTAAAAAATAAAAAATCACTTTAACTTTAATAATTCAATATTTTTTTCTAATTTTTCTTATAAATTCAAATTTTTTCAAATTGTTAGAATTTTCATATTTATTTTTCTTTTAGATGAACTCATGTAATACATGAGTCTTACACCTAATATATATTTAAAATTAATTAAATTATATAAAAGTTATCCCAAGCAAGAACTAAAGATGTGTTATACCAAATGTTGAGGTGCATATAAACACGGTTAAAAACAAAACCATTATTTTCTTAAATCTATCGGTTTTTTGGATGGTTAGATTCAATTAAATCCAAGTCAACTTTGACTGGTTTTTTTTAGAATAGATTGGATATTCGGTGTAATCGAATTCGGATTATCCATTTTTTTTAAATGGTTTTGGTTTATCCGCTAAAAATTTGATTTTCTTTTTGTCAAAATTCTAATTTAGCTCCAACCATATAAATACTTACTATTTTTGGTTTTTGAATACTAGTTCAAAAAGGCAACAAGGTTAAAAGTACATGAAATTAAACGTATAAAAAGAAAATATAAATACATATAGTCCCAAAATGAGTTTTCTCCATAAATCCAATTTTATGAGTTTATTTAAAATCTAAGTTGAATCTGATAAGTCTTTAATGTTACCCTCATCTACTTCAATTATGTCTCCTCATTTACTTCGACGAGTAGAAGTGATCTTTCAAGTGAAACATAATTTAGTATCTTTTCAATGTTGTCCAAGTAATCATTCATACAGACACATATTTCCATCAATTTGACAGGGAGTCTTGACTTAGGTTCTGATATAACCATTACGCTAAGAGAAAAAGTGGATTATGAAGATATCGTGGAAGCTTGGAATGTTAGTATATCATGGGTAGGGATAGAAATGGGGCTCCCTGACGGATCCGGGGAATCAAATCCAATCCCTTTTAGATTTTGGTTTTTCCCTGAACCATCTCCGACCCATCCCTGGTCCATCCCCGATCTATCAACATAATAAACTAACAATTTCAAGTCTAATAAGTTATAAAAATCAGAGATCATAATCAGATTTGGTTTACATCAATTATAAAGTTTAACAAGCATCAAAGCAAGAAGCGACGATTTTGTATATGCACCGTCAAAAAAAGTGAAGATTGACAAAAATTGAGAACATAATTTGACATACGAACTCTTCTTTGGATGGTCTAATATAGATCAATTCATGTTTAATGGACTGGTTTCGAATTCAATAAATTATCAATATATATATATATATATATATATATATATATATATATATATGTATATATATATATATATAGGGTTAGGTTATTTTGTTTTTACTAACTATTGTGTGCCAGAATGCACAGATCTGGACCATCGGATGGAATATAATCAAATGTCATGATTTGAGGGTCTATGGTAGTAGAATAGGATAGCATGTACCATATAATCATACAAATTAATTTCAGCATAAGGGCATTTTAGTCAATTAACCTATATTAAAAAAGGAAACTTTCGGATTTTTAGGGATGATTAATTCCTTTATTTTTTAAAAATCTGAATATTTTAAATTAATTCAAATTTAAAAATCCAATTTTATTCTGTCAGAATGATAGAATGTCAACCATAAACTAGTAAATGTATTTTTTCGATTTTATTCTGTCAGAATAGCAGAATGCCAAACATAAACTATTAATACATTCTGAAAGAATACATAAAATCGATTCTTGAACTAATAATATATCAAAAAATTACATTGTATGATTGTGATTCATTGAATAATAACAAACATTCTGAAAGAATAACAAGTATAATTCTTAAAAAATAACAACATTCTTAAAAAATGAGTGTGATCATTCTTTAATTCATTCTTCAACCCTTTCACATCAGGTCTTCAAGCCATTCTTGAAGCCATTTCTACCAGAAATTCATTGCCAAGTAATTTGTAGTGATACACTTGTAAAACCTGCACATTAAACATACAAATAATTAACTACAATTCTATCATAATACAACAAATAATATTCTTACAAAATAAACTATTCTGCAAGAATATTCTTTAAGAATTTGTATTATCAAGAATATACCTAACAAACAAAATAAGGAACTAGCATCAACCTATTCTGACAGAATAAGGAACTAACATTCTTCGGGTTCCTTGTGTTTCTTCTCGATATGCTCAATGTATTTAACTGCAAATTCTGAAAGAGTAAGAAACTAGCATCAACCTATTGTTATGAAAATGGCATCCAACCCAATCTAAATTGAGTTATATAGTTCTGAAAAGAACAAGGAACAAATTGAAGTAAAAACATTATAGATTTTTAACTATTTTTTCAGTGAGGCATTTTATCAAACACATGGAGGCCATGACAGAATGTTGTTTCAAGAAATTACCTGTGATCACATTAAGCATATCATGCAGGCTAGCACCAAGTTCCTTTGGCATAGCTTCTAACAAGCGTATCAATGGACGAAACTGTGACCCATTGAAACATGTAGCTGCAAAGGAGACAGACATTGTTAACCGCATATGTTAATGGTGGAAAAAAGAAAATTTTGATCAGTTGAAACACACACACACACACACACACCTGAGTTGTCCAAAACTAAGAGAATATCAACTATGCATTTTATCAAACACGTGGTGTGCTTCTTCAGTTTCTTCAAAAAAAAATTAGTGATAGTCTTACCAATTCAGTTTCTTGAATTCAAGAAACAACCCCAAACAACCATGAGTTATATCCCATCCATTATTATAATTTTTTTCAGGAAAACCCAAACATCCAAATTTACATGGATTCAAATCAAAATAAGATGAAGAAGAAGATCACCTGTTGGCCATGGATGCAACACCGCCACCTCTTTTCCGAACAATCTATCCTCCAACCTTTCTTTTCCATCCGTCGATCTGTCACACCCCAAAACCACGAACGGCGGAAACGTTCAGGGGTGGAGGACGTCATGTACAGTATCACAACAGTGTAATATAATAAACAAGCAACAACATCATCCATTGCATTATAAGTAAAGTTTTATACATGTGTGTTCTTTCATTGTAATAAGACACCAAAAATGTACAACCAAAATAAAAGACGAGACTTGTCTGCTGCGTCTTCTCACAACCTGTTCTCCGTACCTATCTACTAGCGACCTGAGAACACAAGTTATTTTGAAAGAGAGTATCAACTTTAAAGCTGGTGAGTTCATAAGTATATAAGTGTCATTGCTTTGGTTTGTGAAAACCTGCTATGAATGCCATGAAAAACCTTTACATGAAAATGTTGAGATAAGTATGAAATCCCTAGAAAACCCTTATTTTCTATAAGTATGAAGTGTAGTCTTCTACCAAGACCCAAATGTTTTGTATGTATGAAGTGCAGTCTTCTACCAAGACTCGAATGTTTTGTATGGGTGAAGTATTTTTCCTTTGTATAGACTAGTACTAAAAGTGCTTAGTCTAACTCATCGTTTATGTGAAAGATATCACAAAATAAAGTAAACAGGAAAATATGATATGATAAGTGTTGTCACTGGGTACTAGGACCTACACTACATCGCATAAAGTGAAAGTTAGACCATGAGGAACGTCCGAAGAGCGTCCCCTCATCCTCTGTAGCAGCAGCAGGATGGAAGGAGGGTTAGTCCCTGCATCGATCCCATGACGTAGATCGTCAACTTAATGATCCTCCGAAGATTCACATCTCGTCCACTGTTGCAACAGCGGGCGGAGGGATAGTTAGTCTCGTCACTGACCATTACTCAAGTGACTACCTTAGGCATCCGTAGACGCCATCTCTCACTGGTGCTAATCAGTGAGATTCGGAATGGTAAGTCCCGCTGAAAACATCCCCTCGAACGGGAATAGGAAAGACAATTTATACAGTAATTACTAATAAATCATCCTCTTAGATCTAGTTCAAGTATCCAAGGTAAGTAAGTACCAATAATGTACTTACTAAGAAGTGTCTCTGTCTAGGATTCATGTAAGTGTACTCATGTAACAGATAAGTATATGTAAACATATTCATGTATCATAGAATCCCAAGTACGTGTAATCATGTATCATGTAAGGCAATAGTATAGACTCATGAATGAACTGACTCTTGTTTGATATTCTCTGACTATCCCTATGATAGTTAACTAAAAAGTATATTGTTGTTTAAGTAGGTTTATGCAAGGTATCTAGGAGCTTTGAACAACAATAATATAAAGTGACTTAAAGTCATTATACAATTCAAAACTAATACTTCTGTTGTCTAAGTATTTTAAGATAGAAAACCCTTTTCGTGACTTCTTTTGAAATATGAGAAATCTACTGAGTGAAAACATAGTTATAAAATACATGAAACTGATTTAATAACATGTTTGTTTCTACTTGTATCCCCCCCCCCATTAAAGCGTTTAAAATCATTTAAAACATTGATTACGGGGTATGAACTCACCTGTAGTTGGTGATTAGAATGAACTGAGCGGTATCGGATGGTTAGGTGTCAAGCGAGGACTTGTGTACACACTACGATCCTAATGAACATATAATCACACATATATGCTCTCAATTAGACACCAAAGACTAATTGATAATGTTTAAGACATTTTAGATACAGATGACACTTTATGTAAGTGTTTTAGGCCGTAAGGACTTCATCTAAGCTTTTGTGGGACAGGGTACTTGAGTTTAGGGTTTCCAAAGGACCCCATATGAGAGTGTACTCTCTCTAAACCATCACTCATGGAGTTTACGGTTGTAAACTATGGAGTTTACGGCCGTAAACTCCCAAACATGTGTGTTTGGTGTGCTTTGAAGTCCAATATGCTTTCTAGAATTATTCCAACCTTGTGACTATGTTCTTGGAAGGGTTTAAGGCCTAGAAGTACTCCAAATAGGAGTTCACGGCCTAAAGGACATTTCCCTTTGGAGTTTACGGCCATAAACTCCCTTGGGGTGATTCCTTGGTTGATTTCAAGCCTCTTGTATTAGTGGGATGTGTTCTAGACTTTTAATCCTAGCATATGAAGGCATTAGGCACCACTTAGTGCCCTTTATAGGAGTTTACGGCCCAAGAACTATGCCTTGGCCGTAAACTCACTTGTTCATGTGATTTTGGTGTGGTTTGGTCCTTCCATTTAGTGGGTACAATTTCTTGTGAAGGGCTAGGACCTTAGGTGTCATGAAAACATCATTTGGGACCATTTACATGGAGTTTACGGCCTAGGAGAGTTCTGGGCTGTAAACTCACTTCCTTTTGTGTCATTTGAAGTGTTTAAGACCTTAAGCCACTTGGGGAATTAACCTAGATGCAAGCCTTAAAGTCCTTTAGTCCAAAAACCACCATTTAGGCATGTGGAATGGAGTTTACGGCCTAAGAGTGTTCTGGCCGTAAACTCCCAATCTTGGGTGGTTTTGTGTGTGATTCCTTGTCCTTAGTGTGTTTACCTAATGTCCTAAGGCCTTATTCAAGCATCGATGTCGGTTTTGGCCTTGTTTCGGGAGTTTACCGCCCAAGAACACCTTAGGGAGTAAACTCCTAGATCTCATGATTTAGCCATCTAAATCATGTTATGAGTACCTAATATGTGTTATAACACTACTAGAAAGAGTGACTCACGTTTTGGTATAAAAACCCGAAGATCCGTCAGAGAGAAAATGGTTTTTCTCTAGTCAGAAATGTGAATAATGACCTAATTTAGTTCAGAAAACTATTTATAGTCCTGAAATATTTTGGCAGAAAATATTTTTATTCCTGAAATGATCTCCAATGAATTAGAGTGTTGGAATATCAGTGTTGCACCAAACCCTAGGTGCACACACTCTACTGATAGTTATTGAAGTGTAAACCATGAATTTCTCAAACTTACGCGAAGAAGTCTGAAAATTAACTGTGACTGCTACAACTTCTATTGAAGTGATATAGTTTGTACAGAATGAAAATTTCGGGTTGTCACATCATCCCCCCGTTAGAAGGAATTTCGTCCCGAAATTAGAATGTAAGCAAATATGAATTTACAAATAACTAAGTAAAAAGGTGAGGGTATTTCAGTTTCATCTGATCCTCATGTTCCCAAGTGAATTCCGGTCCACGCTTTGCGTTCCAGCGCACCTTCACTATCGGGATACGGCTCTGCTTTGTCCGCTTGACCTCTCGGTCCATGATTTCTACTGGTTCCTCCACGAAATTGAGGCTCTCGTTGATCTCGATCTCGTCGAGTGGAGTAACAAGAGTCTCGTCGGATAGACACTTTTTCAAGTTCGAGATGTGGAAGGTAGGATGTACGTTACTGAGTTCTTGCGGTAGATTGAGTTTGTAAGCCACAGGGCCCATTCTCGCAAGAATCTCGAAAGGCCCTATGTATCTTGGATTGAGCTTCCCACGCTTTCCGAAGCGTATCAAGCCCTTCCAGGGTGAGACTTTCAGTAGGACTCGATCGCCCACCTGGAACTCCAATGGTTTCGTACGCTTGTCGGCGTAGCTTTTCTGTCGGTCTCTAGAGGTTTTTAGTCGTTCACGAATTTGAACGATCTTCTCTGTCGTTTCCCGAATGATCTCCGGACCTGTGAGAGTGCTTTCGGGAACTCGTCCCTTAGCTAACTGGGTATCACCCACTTCGGCCCAGCACAGAGGGGATCTGCACTTTCGACCATAGAGGGCTTCGAATGGAGCTGCCTTGATGCTCGTGTGATAACTATTGTTGTAGGAAAATTCAACAAGGGGTAAGTGAGTATCCCAAGCTTTTCCAAAGTCTATCACACAGGCGCGCAACATATCTTCTAAGGTTTGGATAGTTCTCTCACTTTGCCCGTCGGTCTGTGGATGGTAGGCTGTACTCATGTCCAACCTAGTTCCTAGGGAACTTTGTAATGACTGCCAGAACCTCGAAGTGAATCTACTATCTCGGTCTGAGATGATAGATATGGGAACACCGTGCAGTCTTACAATCTCCCTAATGTAAGTTCTGGTAAGTTTCTCCATCTTGTATGTTTCCTTGATCGGTAGGAAGTGTGTAGACTTGGTCAATCTATCGACGATGACCCATATGGAATCAAGTCCACCCGTCGTCTTGGGCAACTTGGTTATGAAGTCCATAGTAATCCGCTCCCACTTCCATTCTGGTATTTCCGGTTGTTGTAGAAAACCGGAGGGTATCTGGTATTCGACCTTGACCTTTGCGCAAGTAAGGCATTTACTCACGAAGGTAGCAATATCTGCTTTCATGTTAGGCCACCAGTATAGCTTTTTAAGATCCAGATACATCTTATCTGAACCCGGGTGGACGGAATAACGAGTGTTGTGAGCTTCCGTCATGACCAAGTCTCTGAAGCCACTGGGTTTCGGTGTCCAGATCCGATCCATGAGGTATAAGGCTCCGCCACCCTTGGCTTCCAAGTTCTTATCCATTCCTCTAAGGGATTCACCCGCCACATTTTCAGTTTTCAAAGCATCGAGCTGAGCCTCCTTTATTTGTGTGGACAAGTGCGAATGGATGGTTAGAGTCAAAGATTTGACCCTACAACCGGTATATTCTTTCCGACTC